AGCAATCTTTAACAAATTATTCAAAAAAAAAAAAAAAAAAAACAGAAGAGGAAGAAATACATCCTAATTCATACTGTGAAGTTAGTATTACTCCAAAACCACACAAAGACATCATGAGAAAAGAGAACTACATACAGGTCAACGTATCTTATAAATACAGATGAAACAACTGCAACGATTCTCAATAAAATACTAGCAACCAAATCCAGCAACATAAAAATGAATTATACAAACTGATCAAGTCAGATACTCCCTTTTGGAATGAAAGTATTTACCCAGTGCCTATATCCCCATTGCATTTTGGGAGTAATTTAGTTTCTTTATTTCACAGGCTCATAGGTGGAAAGGACTAGCCTTGTCTCAGATGAGACTTTGGACTTTTGAGTTAATGATGGAATGTGTTAAGACTTTGGGGGACTGTTGAGAAGGGATGATTGTATTTTGGAATGTGAGAAGGTCATGAGATTTAGGGGCCCAGAGGTAGACTTATATAGTTTAGGTATGTGTCCCCACCGAATTTCATGTTGAAACATAATCCCCAATGCAGGAGATGGGGCCTGGTGGCAGGTGATTGGATCATGAGGATGGTTTCTAACGGTTTCACACCATCCCCCTTGGCGGCGCTGTTGCAACAGTGACTTCTTGAGATTTGGTTGTTTAACCGTGTGTGGCACCTCCCGCCTCTCTCTCACTCTCTTCCTGTTGCACCAGCCACAGAAGATGTGCCTGCTTCCCCTTCACCTTCTGCCATCATTGGAAGCTTTCTGAGGCTTTCCCAGAAGCAGAAGCCACTGTGCTTCCTGCACAACCTGAAGAATCATCAGTCAATTAAACCTCTTTTCTTTATAAATTACTGAGCCTCCCAGTATTTCTTTATAGCAGTGTGAGAATGGACTAATACAGTAAGCCAACCAAAATAGCTATGAACATTGAAAAAGGAAAGCAATGAAGAGAAACTTGCCATACCAGAAAGTTTTTAGTGAAAACAGAGGTACTGGCACAAAAATCAGTCAAACTGGACTTTCGTCAGACTAAGAAGTGAAACAGAAATATATACAATGACAACTGGAAATTAGAAATATACCCAAATACAAATGGAAATTAATACAGAAGATAAAAGTTTCCATCTCGAGTCATTATGTAAATTAACCTTTTAATAAATGATGCTTAGATTACATATAGCCATTTTGAAAAAAACATGAAACTGAAGAACCATATACCAGAATACACTCCAAATGAAGCAGAACTCAAATAGAGGAACACAACTATACAATTACTTGAAGAAAATGTGGGTGAATTCCTTAATAATCTCAGAGCAAAAAAAGTTCTAATTTGAAAATTCATAAATTCAACTGCATTTTTTAAATGCTTGATAAAACATACAGTAAGCAAAGACAAAAGAAAAGTGAAAAACCAAGAGAAAAATCCTTCTACTTATATCACAAAGCAGCAATCTCCCTAATATATAAAAAAAACTTTAAAACGTAAAAAAAATACAACAGACAAATGAGCAAAAGACATGGACAATTCACTGGAGAGGGAAGTGAGGGGCCCTGCACCCATCAGCAATCACTCCCCATTTTCATTCAAACTCCTCATACTCCCCCAGCCCTGGGTAACTACTAATGCACTAAATGTTCTTTTTGTTTCTATAGACTGCCATTCTGCACATTTTATATAAATGTGGAAAATGTCCAAATTTACTCATAATGTAAAAAAATGTAAATTAAAACTACACTCAAAAATACAAAAGCTTAACAATATACTCTCTACTTGTGAGGCCATGAAAAACAACTACTCTCATATATCACTGGTAAAACAGGAAAATAATACAAACTCTACAGAGGTCAACTTTGTAAAACCAAAACCACTTATGGTTTTATATTTTATCCAGCAACTTTACTTCCAGAAGTCTTTCCTAAAGATAGACCTTCATAAAAACTAAACACTGTGTGTACCACGTTATTTATTGTAGCATCGTTTGCCACAACAAAATATTGAAAACAATCCAAATGTCCATCAATAGGGAACTGATAGCATAAACAATGATACATCCACCTACACAACAGAATTGTAGAGCTATGAAAAAGACTAAAAAATCAATTGATATGAAGTGATTTCCAAGTTACATTGTTAAGGAAAAAAAGGTATAGAATATCAAGCACAGCATGCTACCTGCTGTATAAAAAAGTGAAGAATATGCTTGGCAATTTTTGTAGCTAGGCGCAGTGGCTCACACCTGTAATCCCAGCACTTTGGGAGGCTGAGGCAGGTGGATCATGAGGTCAAGAGTTCAAGACCAGACTGGCCAACATGGTGAAACCCCGTTTCTACTGAAAAATACAAAAATTAGCTAGGCATGATGGCTCGTGCCTGTAATACCAGCTACTTGGGAGGCTGAGGTAGGAGAATTGCTTGAACTGGGACCAGGGAGGTGGAAGTTGTGCAGTGAGACGAGATTGTGCCACTGCCTGGGCTACAGAGTGAGACTCCATCTCAAAAAAAAAAAAAAAAAAAAGAGAGAGAAGAAGAGAAGAGATACATTAAAAAGTGAATGAAAACAGTAATCTACGAAAGGTGGGTGGAAAGGCATGCAAGGGATGGATATAGGAGTCAGACTTCTCTGACTATTCCTGTTGATATAGTTCTGACTTTTGAATCACAGAAATGCTTTATATATTCAAAATATAAAATAATACAGGCAAACACAGAATGTTTTGTCTAACCTAAAACATAAGTATATTTTAATTGTCAATGAGCTAGGGGTCAAGGCCTTTTGAGCATGAGTCTGTTGATTGGAATTTACCATGGCTTTCTTAAACCATAACCACAATACATTGTCTAAGAAATCCAGTTTCTGTTTTGTAATATGAAGTTAGAAATTAAAGATAACCATTGGCTGGGTGAAATGGCTCACATCTGTAATCCCAGCACTTTGGTAGGCCAAGGCAGGTGGATCACTTAAAGTCAGGACTTTGAGACCAGCCTGGCCAACATGGTAAAACTCCATTCTCTACTAAAAATACAAAAATTAGCCAGGTGTGGTGGCATGCACCTGTAGTCCTAGCTATTTGGGAGGCTGAGGCACAAGAATCACTTGAACCTGGGAGGCAGAGGTTGCAATGAGCCAAGATTGTGCCACTGCACTCCAGCATGTGTGACAGAATGAGACTCAAAAAAAAAAAAAAGAAAGAAAAGAAATTAAAGATAATTGCAAAATAAACTTTAAGCAGTATCCTTTTGTTTTCTTCCCCGTCTAGATTCCTCTAACTTTTTCTCAAAGCTTTCAGTTATCTCACTCATTTTTGTTCATTTTTAAGACATGGAGTCTCTTGCTGTCACCATGGCTGAAGTATGGTGGTGTGATCATAGCTCACTATAACCCAGAACTCCTGGGCTGAAGTGATTCTCTTGCCTCAGCCTCTCTGAGTAGCTGGGACTATCGACATGCACCACCACACACAACTACTTTTTAATTTTTTTGGGTAGAGACAGATTCTTATTCTGTTGCCCAGGCTGGTCTCAAACTCCTGGCCTCAGGTGATCCTTCTGCCTCAGCCTAATTTTCTCAGAAGCAAACTGGCATGAACAAGTTTGGGACCACAACTAACTCTTGAAGGGCATCCAACTTGAACTGTGAGAGAAGTAAACAAGATCACTAACCACAAGCATTCAGCATACTAACAGTGCCAAGGGTCTACATGTTTTAGGGAGGGGACAGGAATAGTTAGGTAATTTGGCAAATGACTCACATAATGTTTATGGGAGAATTTACTAGAAATAATAGATAATGTTATTAAAGATTTATTCAGACACCAAACATTCAAAAGACTATCAGCCCTGAGGTGAGTATTGTTTTCTCCATTTTACAAATGAGAAAATGGAATCTTAAGAGAGGTTAAGTACTTAATCAAGGTTGTGCAATTACTAAGAGATGAGGCTGAAAGTCGAACTAAGGCAGTCTGACCCTAGACCCCACAATCAGCCGCTGTGTAATAAATGAGACTTATTTTTAAGGCCATGATAGACGACTGGTGAGACCTGCTTTGAGGTTCCTTCCAGCCGCATTCTTGGGCACAGACCTTTGAGCCTATTATCACCCATGTATTATAGGTGTTTGCAAGAAAAGAAAATTGACACTGTGTAGACATTTCCCCTATGCTTACTACTTAGTGTTTTTTACTGAAACACATTTCCTGCTAAGCCCCCTTCATTCTCATGAGAATTTCCATTGTACCCACCTCCCTCTATCACTTGCTTATCAAAATGCATGCATCTGCTCTTAACTGACAAAATTAATTATTTCTGATCAGGTTCTTGCCAAAGAATATGACCTCAACACTATCCAATTCTTATCAAAATCTCTGTTATACAAAATAGTATTCACAGAGCATTCTAGTCTAACATAAACCTTTAAAATTCCTTATTGCATTTATTATAGATTTTTACCAACAATGGTAAGTTCCAAAGTATCCTTTAGGACTAAATTTCTCTTACGCAGGGAAATGCAATGTTTTTCCTAAACTTGTTTTGTTTTTTTTTATCTTACAAATATTAAGAGTAATCAAGCTTCCCTCTTTCTTTTAGTTGCTAGAAAAGCCGTATCAAAGTTGACACCAGCATTGGACATGACTTAATGGCATGCACGTTTGTGTCCCAACCTTTGCTTGAGTTTTATATCATGATCTTATCTTTAATTTTCTGATATCCCATTCTCTTTTGCTGTTCTTTTATATATTGTAATATATACATATTTTTATAAACCAACTCAAATCGTTTTTGAAAGGAAGTTGTAGAAAATAAATTAAAAGGTAACTAGAACATTTAGATTGTTATTTTAAAGCAATTCTCTTCTTATTTCTTCTCTATTCCCACCAGTACTAACCTAGTCAAGGAAAACAGACAAGATGTTTTGTTAGGGTCTCTCTGATGCTCAGGATTCTATATCTATTTTTTCTCCCTATTTCCACAAACATAATCGTTAAGACAACAGAACTTACCAGATAGACAATATGAAGATCATTCTCTAACACAAAGCCCTTCATTGCTCTTTGCAGGTCAGCAAAAATATCTAAAGTATCAGCTGGAGAAAGTGAAGAAGAAAGAGTAGCCGAACCAAGATGTGTTGGATGATACACCTTTCCTGGTTTAGGGTTAAGGTGAAGAAAGAGAGGAACATTCAAAATAAAACAAAACAAAATACTGTCTTTCTGTATTCCAAAGCTAACCCTCTCGGCGGATAAATTTTACAAATAGTACCTTATCCAGTGCATGAAAATGTATGAGCAGGTTCTATAATGATTGTCTGAAGTTGCTACATATGATACTGATTTACTAAAAATGACTTGATACACTGCTCAAAAATCAATTTCCTGTTATACTACAGGAAAAGACAATTTCCATTTACTGAGCAGTCATACACTCACTAAAGATGAAAAAGTGAGTAAATTGCAACTGAGAAGTCACACTTACCTTCTGTTCCATCACTGGCTTCTGTAATCTGGATGAATTCATTTTCTAGCAGCCACATGACACAGGCCTCAATTGCTCCAACCTGAACAGACTCTTGGTTTCTCTGAATTCCTTGCTTTCCTTCTTTCATACTTGCAGCCAAAAATGTACAGTCAGCATAAGTATGCATATCTTGTGATGTACTTGCCACTCCACCAACTATTATCTGAAAGAAAATATTTGAAAATTTCTGTAACTTTTTACTAAAACATGCGAGCCCTCTGGATATAAAAGATAGAAAGCAATTCCATTCTCATTTTAAAAAATTTTCTTAGAATGGTCCAGGCATGGTGGCTCGCGCCTGTAATCCCAGCACTTTGGGAGACCAAGGCAGGCAGATCACAAGGTCAGGAGTTCAAGATGAGTTTGGCCAACATGGTGAAACCCCGTTAATGCTAAAAATACAAAAATTAGCCAGGCGTGGTGGCGTGCACCTGTAATCCCAGTACTCAGGAGGCTGAGGCAGGAGAATTGCTTGAACCTAGGAGATAGAGGTTGTGGTGAACCAAGATCATGCCACTGCAGCTGGGGGCAACAGAGCAAGACTCCAACTCAAAAAAAAAAAAAGTTTTTAGAATCTTAATGTAGAGATCATTTATTAACTCTTCCATCACCACTCACTGTAACTGTTGAACACCTAACGACAACAGAAAAATTCTCCTTAAAGCAGATAAAATATTTTCTTATAAAGAAAAATAAATGAAGCATTAAATCCATCTGAAACTTTAGGTGACAGAGCGAGACTGAATCTCAGAAAAAAAAAAAACAAAACAGAAAAAACACAAAGCACCAGGCACAGTGGCTCACACCAGTAATCCTAGAACTTTGAGAGACCAAGGCAGGGAGATCACCTCAGGTCAGGAGTTCAAGACAAGCCTGGCCAACAGGGTGAAACTCCGTCTCTACTAAAAGTACAAAATTTAGCAGGGGATGGTAGTGTGCACCTGTAATCCCAGCTACTTGGGAGGCTGGGGCAGGAGAATTGCTTGAACCTGGGAGGAGGACGTTGCAGTGAGCTGAGATCATGCCATTTCACTCCAGCCTGGGCAACAGAGTGAGACTCTATCTCAAAAAAACAGAAACAAAACAAAACAAAACAAAAACTTAAGAAATCCATAAAGCTAAGATTTTCATTTACTAATATTTTACCACTTTAATTTAGGCATAAAAGAGCAAATGGTAATTTAGCAAACTCTCTTTTACCTCCAGAATAGCTCGTATCATGCTGGCAGTTACTTCTTCTCCTTCTTGTCTTTGCAGACAGCTGCAAACAGGCTTTAGAGATCCCTGAAGGAGAGCTATGCCTTTTGATTTCTCAGAGTTCTTACAAATTAAGATACTCTCACCTATAACCGAAAGACATGCATTTGCAAAATCCCAATATAGTTCTGTAAGATATGAGTTAAAGAGATTTTAAGTTGCCTTACTTATTTAAAAGGAGACAAGAGATGATGGTGGTTGTTATAGTAATAAAATTATGGCTATTTTTATTTTCTGAACTTTGGACAGAAGGGGATCAGAATATGCTACTCCAAACTATGCCACTTTAGCCCAACGATTATTTTGAGCTGAAGGCCACGGGGAAGCAGCAAACACAGAAAGAACTCTTTGTCCTCTCCCTATCTGCCTAAAAGCAAGAATGAATTTTTCTCTTTGTGATGATATTTCCCCTTCCCTCTCCCATACAGGACAACAACCCTTATCACTGGAGACAGGTCGGCACTGAGATGGGTCTGCACAGACAAATTTTACTGAAATAACTTCTAACTTCCATTAGTTCCCCCCATATATTTATCTTCTCATAATTTGTTGCCCCTAGAAGATCAGATACCTTTTCCTTTTTGTCACTTCTCAGTTTTTACTGCCCATTGTTAAAATGTTACATATGACCCCAGGTTTAACAGTTTCTCAGGTCTTCAATCCTTTTCTCTAATGGCTTCCATGCACATAAAAATTAAAATATTAGCATCAAATAAAGTGTATATGCCTTTTCTCCTGTTCATCTGTCTGTTCATTTAATTAGCAAGTCCCAACTGCAGAACCTAAGAAAGTAGAGAAGTCTTTTTCTTCCCCTACAGGATTAACCATTATTATTGAATAGTGAAGTAATTAATAGAGGTACTTTCAAACCTGTAAAGGAAAATGCAAATGTGAAGTTTTACTAGTTATAGATGATAAAATAAATTCAAAAATACTTGTAGATACCTAAAATTTATTACAACATTTATTAATCTAAATGCTTTATTGTGACATTGAGTGAACAAACATACATGAAAGCACTTACATGTTAAAACCATATGCAACTATATGATTTGAACAAATACAAAGTATTATTGCAACAATTATGACTAGAAAGAATCATAACTCTTCTTCAAAAATAAATCCAATACTGTGGGAAAGAAAACAGGTAAGAGGTTATAAAAAGCCAAATGAAGAATGCTTTTTAAAATAAAACTGGCACAGTGTTGAATGTACTTACTACCACAGGCAAAGAGAAGGTATAGATCATGCTTTCCAACTGCCAAACTGAGAATCAAGATATGATAAAGTAAAGGGACTATAAATTCGATGATAACTGGCTATTTGTCCCAGAAATGATTATAAAGATAGGTACCACTGAAAAAGTGAAACAACATGTCAGCAAGATGGTGGAATAGGAGGCTTTAGTACCCGCCTCCCCAGAAGCTTGAACTAGCTTCCATCTGCAGACAAGAACACCTTTGTGAAAACAAAACTGCCTGGCGCAGTGGCTCACGCCTGTAATCCCAGCACTGTGGGAGGCCGAGGCGGGTGCATCACCTGAGAGCAGGAGTTTGAGACCAGCCTGGCCAACATGGTGAAACCCCATCTCTACTAAAAATACAAAAATTAGCTGGGCATGTTGTCAGATACCTGTAATCCCAGCTACTCAGGAAGCTGAGGCCGGAGAACAGCTCAAACCCGGGAGGTAGTGATTGCAGTGAGCCTAGACTGGGCTGCTGCACTCCATCCAGTCTGGTCAACAAGAGCAAAACTCTGTCTCAAAAAAAAAAAAAGGCCAGGCACAGTGGCTCACACCTGTAATCCCAGCACTGTGGGAGGCTTACCTGTGGTTAGATCACCTGAGATCAGGAGTTCGAGACTAGCCAGACCAACACGGTGAAACCCTGTCTCTACTAAAAACACAAAATAAACCAGGTGTAGTGGCACATGCCTGTAATCCCAGTTACTTGGGAGGCTAAGGCAGGAGTAAGGCAGAGGCTTAACTCGGGAGGCAGAGGCTGCAGTGAGCCAAGATTGTGCCATGCACTCTACCTGGGCAACAAGAGCGAAACTCCGTGTCAAAAAACAAAATACAAATAACAACCAAACCCTCCCCCACCCAAAACTTGGGAATAAGTCCCAAACTTCTGCATGGACTACAAAATCAAATAAAATTTTCAAGATATATAAAAGAAACTATCTCACTTTGACCGCATCACTCCTTCCACTCCCCCAAGTCAGCATAGTACCACACAGAAAGCAATCTCCAGGGCTCCCAGCTTCCACAGTGGAAAAAGAGAACCAGAGGCAAACATATAGCTTCCCTAGCATTCCAAGAGGCTTCCCAAGAAGCCAACTCCAGTCTCATTTCACAGAGAACACACTGGGTAACAGCACAGCTAGATCACCTAGGACCAGGCAGAAGCAAAGCCAGGAGGCAGAGCTCATGGCAGCCAGCATGCCGACCTTGGTGGGGGCTCTGTGTACCTGCCAGCAGTGGTGTCCAATCAGAGTTACCAGCCAACAGCATAGCCCACCACAAAGCCGAGCTTATCACTTCCAGAAGTGGTAGGAAATTCCACCTGGTTTGAATCTTTGGATAGCCAGCCTATAGGACCAGCATCAAACCTCATGAGGACCCTGCCCAGGAAGGGAGCTGACCATCACAGTGCATTTTGGAAAGAAACAGGGGATAGTTATGCCAAACCTGGAATCTTAAACAGTGCTCAGCTCAGCCTCAAGGACCTGCCCCAGGTGTTAGATGCCTATCATAGTGTATTTTTGCAAACTGCAGGGACTAGTTCTGCCACAGATGGAACAGCTTTCAAAGCCCACTCTAAGCCCCCACCTAGGCAGGGAGGGAAACCTCAGATGTGCATTTATTATTATTTTATTTTTAGAGGTGAGATCTCTGTCACTCACATTGGAGTGTGGTGGCATGATCCTAACTCACTGAAGCTTCAAACTCCTGGGCTCAAGCAATCCTCCCATTTCAGCCTCCCAAGTCTCTGGGATTACAGGCATGAGCCACCATCTCAATCATGCATTTCCCCTGAGCATAGCAGCTGGTGCACTGGTCCAGAACAGCAACTCCACTTAAATTTGGGGCCCAGCCTGCAACACTGTCCAAGTGCAGATCTCAAACAGGGGTACCACCTGGCCAAGGAATACACCCTGTGGCCCAGCAACTCTGCCTGATTGCAGAGGTCAGCTAGTGGGTTCACCTGATAGCAGGGCCCAGGCAGCAGTCCCACCCAAACCCAGAGCAAAGGCAGCAGCCCAACTATCTACAGAACCCAAAGGCAAGCTTTGCCTCTTCAGAGCTGCTACCAGTTGGCCTATTCAGAATCAAAGGCTAGACAAGTGAAGTTCTATCCCTGCCAAAGAACACCTATAAAAGCCAAAGAGGTAGCTGTCCCCTCAAATGTGTAGATACCAACACCAGAACACAGATTACAGAGAACCAGGAAACCAAGATATCTTCGAAAGAAACTAACAAAGCTCCAACAATGAACCTAAAGAAATTAAGATCTGTGAAATGAGAAAAAATCCAGAATAATTCTCTTTAAAAAGTCCAGTGAACTACAAGGATATATGGACAAAAAATTAAATAAAATTTGGAAAACAATACACAATAAGAAGTTTGACAAAGAAATAGAAACAATAAAAACAAAAGAGAAATCCTAGAGATGAAGAATACAATGACTGAATTGAAAAATGCAATCAAAGCTTTAGTAGAGCTCAATCAGGCAGAAGAAAGAGAGACTAGGGAGCTGGAGGACAGGAATGGTCAAAGAGTACAGTGCTTCAGTTAGGAAGAATAAATGGTAAGAATTTGGGGGTGATATGTTAATTGACTTAATTCCATCATTCTGCATTGTATACATATAGCATCACTCTGTACCTCATATATACAATTATACTTTGTCAATATCCCATTTTAAAAATATCACATGAATGTAACACCTGGCTCTTGCAATGGTTACAAAACAGCCCAGCTTAAGAAAAACACACACAGACATATAAGTTACCTAGAAAATGAATCAACTAGCATTAGCAGCAATACAACAAGCCACTTTGGGCTGCTTAAAGGTCTTCCAGGCTTTGATTCTTCAACAAAATGAACTAAGTTTTTTCTGAACGGGCAAGGTTTATGAAATGTCCAAATGAACGTCAGTATATACTTACAGCTTCCTGCAACCACCTGTCTGGGAGGTCTCATCCACATCACAAGAGGGAGTTGAAATTATTTAGAATCAAAGAATTTATTACTGACTGCTCAACTTGCAAATTGTTATTCTGGCACAAAGTACCATCATCCTACACTGGAAGCTTCTAAGTAGTCTATGGGAAGACTGAAGTGTCATCTAAATAAAACACCATGTGCCGTCCAGGAAATATTAATATCACTTATAAAGGGCACAGAATTTACAATGATGCTACACAATACAAAAAGCATGACCAAGTATTTAAATCTCCATAGTCACTATAAAACACTATATTCCTACATTCCTCAGTAGCTTGAAGTTATGAACAAGTCATATGGCATCCTGAAATACAATGATATGTAAGGTCAAAAGCTTGGAAGTCTTCAAGACCTCAGAAATGAACTAATTACAATATATTTTAGTTCTGCTTGAATGTTGTGATTTAAGACTTGATAATTAGCCCAGGACACTGACTTTACAATTGTTCTTTCCCATAATAAACACAAGCTAAGAACATAGCAAAGCAAATAAGATCTTATCTTATTTATCTTATTTCTCCTTGTCTTCTACATTAACTAAAAGACCCTCTGTCTCTGAGACAATATCTCTGTAAAATGAACTTATACTCCATTCCCCAGATTTTGAGTCCACTGAGGATTGGGGATGGGCAGAGGTAGGCAAATAGGAATGCGAAGGAAGAGTCTCACTCTCTTCCCCCAACCCTTCTTAAGCAAGTACATTCATCTGCATATTTTGTAGGTAAAGTAAGAGAGAAACAGGATAAACTGCTCTGATGTCAGTTGTAGGAAAAATCTAACAAATTAGAAGATTTAAAAAAAAATCATCAACATTTTCGGGGCTCAAAAGATAGGCAGACCAATGCCCTTAAGGGATTATAAATGGGTCATTTATTACTGGGGCTGAGACTGAAGGCTGTTCCAATAGCCATCAGCGTCTTCTTCCTTAAGTATTAGTTGGGTGCACGGCCACCTGGGCTAAAGATTGTTATTTCCCAGCCTCTCTTACAGTTGGGGAATGTAACCATGTGAAAGAGTGGCCTTAAAAGGCAGGACGTGCTCTTTGCTTCCTCATCTCCCCTTCCTGAGGGCTGAAATGCAGGTGTGATGAGAGAGACTGGACTAGCCAACTTACACTGAGGATAGAAACTATATTGCTGAAAATGTTAGAATAGAAGGCTAGGTCCCTGACACACTACAGCCATCATATAAGGCCTAGATTACTTACAATTTTGCTGTTACATGAGAAAGAAATTAACTTCTATCTTGTTAAACACCTATTGTATTAGTTTTTGTTACAGCAGTGAATTTATATTCTAATTAATCCAGTTACTGATAAATTATGTCAATGTTTGGTATTTGTGGTAGTCACATTCTATACAGCTGCCATGAACACAGAATATTGATTATTCTGCCAAGGAAAATAGATGATTAGTTTTCTGCAAGTCTCTAGTAAAAACATTTTTATCACTTAATCAATACAAAACCTTGTCTCATGCATGTTTTTGTTTAAAGACATCTTATTTAATATACATAGTTGTTTATGTTGAGCTCCAGCTAACAGCATTATAATTCATGCCTAAAGAAAGCTTATCACATATTTTCTCTGTAAGGCACAGCACAGCCTTAATGCACCAGGAACATTAGACAGCATTTCATACTTTGCTTGGGAGGTCATGTGAACAGCAAAATCATCAGCTAAAAGCACAAAAATGTGGCACTAACTAGCCCATTAAAAGCAAGCTTGTTCACAGTATAAGAGCTGAATCAAGAAGGCAAAGCTTGGGCTTGTTCAATCGAACAGGGAAAGTGTGCTTGGAAAGACTCCAATTTTTCACAGATCTGCACATGCCCACAAAAGCCCAAGAGATATTAATTTCAGGATTCTGAAGAAATTCTATTAAGTGGGAAAATTCAAATATAGAATCCACGAATAATGATAATTGACATATGTGGGGACTTCATGTGACAAGTCTGCTTATTCTAAAGGTTACTTCCTCAGTGTACTATCTGGTCTCCTGTGCCCAGAATATCCATTTCCCATCCACTTTCCTTATTTACTGGATTACCTAATTCCTCTTCAATAGCCACAAAACTGTTTGCCTGTTTTTTTTTTCTCTGATATACCTAATACTGGAGTCAATTATGTCCTGGAGTAGAAAAATGAAGTGACAGGGAATGTTCCTCCCAAAGATCTTTGATGTTAGATGGCTGATAATGATTTAGTTATACATATAATGATACAGCATATTAGAAATAAAATTTGCTGCCGTTTTGACATTTAATTCAAACAAACCTCTTCCTCATTGCTTAAGATAAAACTCTTGTTTGGATTTCCAGCAATAATACCGTAACTTGCTGGTACCAGGTAAGAAAATGAAAAGGTGTTTTTTCAGAGCCAGTACCAATTTAGAGAAAAAAGATGGATGCCAAGTTCCTACTCCCAAAGTGTGAGGGTGCTTCCCAGCATCCTTGTCTGATTTCTAAGACTAGTCACCTATGTTGAACTAACATCTGTGAAAATTAATTACTGCTAAAGAATAGACTATACTTGGAAATTAAAAATCATCTTCCAGCTAAGTAATAAGAAGTCATCTTGATTTACATAATACTAAATCATTTTATTGTACAGAATACAAAAGAAAATCTTAATTTAACTTGTAGAAAATCAACAGTTGATGATATATGAAAATTATAACTCATACTCACTGTAAATATTAAGTGAATCCAAAATGACGACATTAGTGCATTGGATAATAAAGAAATACAGCATGATGAGAAACAGGTTGCCAGGCACCAAATTCCAAGTAGACACTGTCCTTTAGCAATGCTGCTACAATGAAATTCAAACTCACTTACCTACGGTATCTACTCCTTTCCTGCCAGCACGACCAACCATCTGCTTATAAGTAAGAATATCTAGAGGTCGACCACCAAAAATCGGAGTTCGAATAATCACACGACGTGCAGGTAAATTCACTCCAGAAGAAAGAGTAGAAGTTGCTGCCAAGACCCGAATGAGACCTTGACGAAAGGCTCCTTCAATGATATCCCTCTCCTCAAAAGTAAGACCTAAAAAAAGGTTTTTATGTATTTACAGATATATAATGAAAATACTATTCTTGATTATTTGCAAATGGATTTGAGAGTCTGCCTCAAGCCTCTAAAGATTTTGGAAACTATTGTTATGACTGTTGACAAAGGAGTCATCACAGTCTACCTCTTTAAGAGTATAATCTGGCCGCATGTGGTGACTCATGTCTGTAATCCCAGCACATTGGGACGCCGAGCCAGGTGGATCACTTGAGGTCAGAAGTTCGAGGCCAGCCTGGCCAACATGGTGAAACCCCTTCTCTACTAAAAATATAAAAAATTAGCTGGGCATGGTGGTGGGTGCTTATAATCCCAGCTAATCAGGAGGCTAAGGCAGGATAATCACTTGAACCTGGGAAGTGGAGGTTGCAGTGAGCTGAGATCACGCCACTGTACTCCAGCCTGGGCAATAGAGCTAGACTCAGTCTCAAAAAACAACAGCAGCAGCAACAAAGGAGTATAATCTGCTGCCCCTAGTATACCTCTATCTTATTTTATAGACCAGAGGTCTACAAACTTTTCCTGTTCTTATGGAACAGCAGGTCTCTGCTGTAACTATTCGACCCTGCCACTATGACATGAAAGCAGCAACAGAACAAATGGGCATGAATGTATTCCAATAAAACTTTATTTACAAAAACATATGGTAGGATAGACTTGACCAGCGGACTACAACTTGCCAACTGCTGTTCTAGACAATGAACTCCTTGTGGTTAGGGATATGCCTTATTCATTGATATATCTTCAGGCCTATGCATCACAGTGATCAGATACACTTCTGACATAAACATGTGTGAATAAAAACGTGAGTAATTGAAAAACAGTGTACAGAATATATACTTATCTGGTTCATTTTCAATTTTATTTAAAAATTAAAAGGGCTGGGGTTCTAGTTTTAAAATTAAGTGGTGGGTACACAGTTGTTCTCTTTTTTAGTATGCATCATAAGTTATATACAATGTAAATTTCATGTGTGTGTATATATAGTAGTTTCCCCCATCTGTGGTTTTGCTTTCCACAGTTTCAGCTACCCAAAGTCAAATATATAAAGAGGAAAATTATAGAAATAAGCAACTTATAAGTTTTAAATTGCATGCTGTACCACCCAGGACATGAATTATCACTTTATTCAGTGTATCCATGCTATATACACTACCTGCACTATACAATGTGACTATATAGGAAAGAATGTAGTATATAGAGGGTTTGGTACTATCTGTGGTTTGAAACATCCACTGAGGATCTTGGAACATATTCCTCACAAATAAGGACTACTATATACCAGTTATATAAATATATGTACCTCCATACACACCCACATTTCAAATGCACTTAAAATTTTTAACATGTTATGAAAAAACATCATATGTAGGGTTGGTACTATCCATGGTTTCAGATATCGACTGGGGGTCTTCAGTGGACAAGGGGAGACTACTATATACAAATAAGTAAACCAAAACATGTTTGCTTTACTCTTGTTTAATCTATCATACAATTTCACTCTATCCCTGAGGTTGGAGTGCAGTGGCATGATCTCAACTCACTGCAACGTCTGCCTCCCAGGTTCAAGCAATTCTTCCTGCCTCAGCCTCTGGAGGAGCTAGAATTACAGGTGCCAGCCACAACACCTGGCTAATTTTTCTATTTTTAGTAGATACAGGGTTTCGCCATGTTGGCCAGGCTGGTCTTGAACTCCTGACTTCAGGTGACCAACTTGCTTTGGCCTCCCAAAGTGCTGGCATTACAGGCATGAGCCACTATGCCCAGCCCACACAATTACTTTTTTTTTGTTTTTGAGACGTAGTCTCACCCTGTCGCCCAGGCTGGAGTGCAGTGGTGCCACAGCCTGGCACAATTTCTTAAAAAGAAATCTAACTATATTAAGTGTGTTTAACAAGAAATAAATGTACACAAATGTAAAAGTTAAGACAGTATGAAGAATTTTGGAGGTTTCTGAATAACAGATTATAAACATGAAATACCTGCATGATGAAATGCTACTCCCCATGGTACAGTTTTCTGTAATACAGAGTCCAGTCCTGAAGGCAAACATCTTAACTGATCCATCACTTCCAGGAGGTCTTTTTGTTCCAGAATGACTGGTGGGAATTCTGAGGATTTCACCAATCCTGTCACAAAAAAATTATCAACACTGTGCACTTCTAGCTCAGCCTCTTTAAGTGGTATCTGTCTAAATCATACTAGAGCTTAAAAACAGGGAAATGGTTTTGAAACTGCTGCACACTGTAATCCCCTGGAGATCTTGTAAAAATACTGATGCCTGGTTCTTAATCCTGGACATTGTTATGTAATTGGTGTGGGATGTGACTGGGGCATGAAGAATTTTTAAATCTCCCCAGGCAATTCTAATGTGCACTGAAGTCTAGACCAAGCCGACAGGCGGGAAATCAAAGGAAACTGCTGAAGGAAGTACAATATCATGGATACTGATTACCACTAGAAGCCCCAAAATCAAAACCCTTGTTCAAGGTGTATACCACCAACCAGCAGTATCAGCATCAGGGGGTTTCACCAATCCTGTCACAAAAAAGCCTACTTCTCTGTGAAATTATTCTAGCCTCTTCGGCACTAATCTGGTAGTTAATTAAATACTACCCTCTGCTTTTTGTCCCTATATGTAAACTTCTCCACCAGTAAGAACTTAACATTGTTTTGAGACAGGGTCTCACTCTGTTACCCAGGCAGAATTGTATGTGTGTACAATGGCACAATCACGGCTCACAGTAACCTCGACTTCCTGGGCTCAAGCAATCCTCCCACCTCAGTCTCCTGGTTAGCTAGGACCAGACGCACATGTCACTATGCCCAGCTAGTATTTTTTTTTTCCACTTGTAGAGGTACGGTCTCCTTATGTTACCCAGGCTGGTCTAAAACTCCTGGACTTAAGCAATCTTCCCACCGTGGCCTCCCAAAGTGCTGAGATTATGGGCATGAGCCACCACCCAGCCTTAACTTTCTTAAATGTAGTAAAAGCTTTACATGCTTATATGTTGTGTTTAAAAACTTCCCAGACTTCTGAATTTTTGAACTTGTAAAAGTTTTCATAAAAAGTAAATATATGGCTGGGCATGGTGGCTCATACCTGTAATCCCAGCACTTTGGGAGGCCAAAGTGGGCAGATCCTTGAATTCAGGAGTTTGAGACCAGCCTGGGAAATGTGGGCAAAATCCCATCTCTAAAAACATATACAAACAAATTAGCCAGGCACGGTGGCATGCACCTATAGTCCCAGCTACTCAGGAGGCTGATGTGGGAGGATCACTTGAGCCCATGAGGTTAGAGATTGCAGTGAGCTGAGATTGTGCCACTGCATCCCATCCTGGACAACAAAGCTATACCCTGTCCCAAAAAGAGAACAAAAGAATATAAATAAATGCATGTTTTAGAATTATGTGTCAGTGGAAAATAATAGAAATATATATAAATATATATGACAAACAAAAACATGAGTAAATGAAAAACTGTATAGAATATACACTTATCTGGCTCATTTTCAATTTTATTTAAAAAATCAATAGGGCTGGGGTTCTAGTTTTAAATTAAGTGGTGATTACACAGGTGTTTATTTTTTTTAGTATGCATCATAAGTTATATACAATGTAAATTTTGTGTGTGTGTATATAGCAGTGTCTCCACCATCTAGGATATGTTGGGCAGGCTGGTCTCAAACTCCTGACCTCGTGATCTGCCCACCTCCCAAAGTGCTGGGATTACAGGCATGAGCCACCATGCCAGGACTGTGTGTGTGATTCTTTTCAGTTACACATTCCTTTGGAAATATAAAGATATGGTTATTTTCCCCAAAGAAATGTCTACATGTGAAGTTTTGCATACAATTTAAGGGCCCCAAAGATCAAACTCTCAAAGTTCATGGATCCTGGGTAAAGAACTTTAGTATATATACAGTATTCTAAAAATCTAAAGTTGATTAGTCTAAGCGTGTATGTGTGTATACATAGTCTATACTAAGGATGGAATATGATTAGAATCTACCCATCTGACAAAGGGGTACTAACCAGAATCTATAAAGAACTTAAATTTATAAGGAAAAAAAAAAAAAAACCCCATCAAAAAGTGGTGAAGGATATGAAGAGACACTGCTCAAAAGAAGACATTTATGCAGCCAACAAACATATGAAAAAAAGCTCATTGTCACTTGTCATTAGAGAAATACAAATCAAAACCACACTGAGATACCATCTCATGCCAGTTAGAATGGCGATCATTAAAAAATCAGGAGACAGTAGATGCTGGACAGGATGTGGAGAAAGAGGAAAGCTTTTACACTGTTGGTCAGAGTGTAATTAGTTCAACCATTTTGGAAGACAGTGTGGCGATTCCTCAAGGACCTAGAAATAGAAATACCATTTGACCCAGTAATCTCATTACTGGATATATACCCAAAGGAGTATAAAAATTCTATTATAAAGACACATGCTCAGGCATGTTTATTGTGCCAGTCCACAATAGCAAAGACTTGGAACCAACCCAAATACCCATCAATGATAGACTGGATAAAGAAAATGTGGCACATATACACCATGGAATACTATGCAGCCATAAAAAAGATGAGTTCAGGTCCTTTGCAGGGACATGGATGAAGCTGGAAACCATCATTCTCAGCAAACTGACATAAAAACAGAAAACCAAACACCGCATGTTCTCACTCATAAGTGAGTGCTGAACAATGAGAACACATGGACACAGGGAGAGGAACATCACACACTGGGGCCTGTCAGGGGCTAGGGGGATTAGAAGGGATAGCAGAGGGTGGGGGAATTGGGAAAGGATAACAGGAGAAATATCTAATGTAGATGATGAGGGGATGGATGCAGCAAACCACCATGGCACATGTATACCTATGTAACAAATGTGCACATTCTGCACATGTACCCCAGAACTTAAAGTATAATAATAAAAAATAACTAAAAAAATAAAAATCTCAAAAGCACAGTTTGGTAAAAAGAGTACCACCTAGTGGGCAGGCAGTAGCAATGATGAACAAGAGCCATGGTTTTGCTAACATAATCACTACCATTACTTTCAAGTAAATGTACTAAGCATGAAGGCTTTCCTTTCCATCCATAACTCACCCTCAGCTTGATGATGTAGATTATAAAACTCTCGAGCAATGATATCTGCCAGCTTCTCACACCATTTCTTCGATGGACAAAAAAGTAATACTGAATGGTTATCACGAATTGTCTCATAACATAAACTAACAACATGGTCCTCATCTCCCTAAAAAGGAAAGATAAATAACCATTTTAGTGGTACTGTCAACAGATTCTCACAACACTTTAAAAGCACTCATTTTCCTTTCTGGGGAAGCTGTTTCTTCTAGAAGGCATAACAAAAATCAGTTGCAAAGTCAATAACAAAAGAAAAAAGAAGAAAAAAAATGAACTCTTTATGATGCAAGGGAAAGAAACACTTTCTATTCATTCAACTAATATTTATTGAGCTCCAACCCTCAGGCAATGGGGATACAAAACTCAGTAAAAAGAAAGTCAAGATCCTAGTAGTCCAGGGGTTTCTAGTCTCACCAAGAGACACATTAAACTACAGATGTCCCAACTCACAATGGTTGGACTTTTACCATTTTAAAAATTTTACAATGGTGCAAAAGCAGTATGCATTCAATAGAAACCATACTTTGAGTGCTTATACAACTCTTCTATTTTTCACTCTCAGCACAGTATTCATTAAATTATGAGATATTAAACACTTTATTATAAGACAGGCTTTGTGCTAGATGATTTTGCCAAACTATAGGCTAACGTAAATGTTCTGAGCACATTAAGGTTGGCTATTCAGTAAATTAGATGTATTAAATACATCACAGTAAGGTGGGACATTCAGTAAATTAGATGTATTAAATACATGTTCAACTTACAATAAGTTTATCAGGATATAGCCCCATCAAAGTCGAAGACAATCTACTAAATATAAAACACGATAACATATACTATTAAAAGAGTTTTGCCAGGTGCAGTGTCTCACGTCTGTAATCCCAGCACTTTGGGAGGCCAAGGTAGGCAGATCACGAGGTCAGGGGTTCGAGACCAGCCTGGCCAACATAGTAAAACCCCGTCTCTACTAAAAATACAAAAAATTAGCTGGGAATGGTGGCGCACACCTGTAACCCAAGCTGCCTGGCAGACGGAGGCAGGAGAATCACTTGAACCCAGGAGATGGAGGCTGTAGCGAGCGGAGATTGTGCCATTGCACTCAAGCCTGGGTGACAGAGCAACACTCATCTCAAAAAAAAAAAAAAAAAAAAAAAAAAAAAAAAAAGGAGGGGTGCCTCTGCAAATTATCCATACTGGAAGTATGTCAATGTATTTATTAATAACCAGATTAATTAATCCATCTACTCACTCATTAAACAAATATTTACTATATGTCAAATACTGATTTAGGTACTGGGGATGGAGCAGCCAACAAAGCACAAAAAAAGTTCCAACCTCATAATGTTTCTACTCCAGTAGGAAGAGACAGATAATAACAAAAACAAGGTAAGTAAAACACATAGTATGTCTGGCTTCGAAAAGTGCTAAGGGAAAAGAAATAGAGATCGTGTAAGGGAGAGCACTATAATTTAGACAAGGTGGCTAGGGAAGGTCTGAGACAGTGACATTTCAGTAAAAGTCTAAAGGGGAAAGGGTAAACCACACTCATGACCCTAAGGGGAAAGCATTCTAAAAAGAGAATCTGAGGTAGGAAATTCTTGGAATATTGAAAAAAAACAGCGAAGAGGCCAGTGTGAAGGAAGCGACAGGGACCATAGTAGATAGCGTCAGAGCACTAAGAGGGGTGGGGGGTGTAGATCACCTAGGGCCTCACAGACTACTATGAAGACGCTGGCTTTTATTCTAAACGAAACAGAAAGCCATTTCAAGTTTCTGAGAAGAAGGATAACACAATCTGATGCTCAATTTAAATAGATCACTAGCTCCTGATGTAAGCATACAATGAAAGGGACAAGGTCAGAAGCAGAGAGAACAATTAGGAAATGTTTCAATAATCCAGGTAAGAAGTGTAAGTGGTTCAAAAGTACAGAGGCACAGACATGGTAAAAGAAGAAAAAAATTAACAGAAGAGTAAATGAATGTGTTCACACATAAATGTATTGAAGAAACCAAGGCATAGCCAGGTGAAATACGAGGCACAGAGCAAAGCAAGTAAGATTCAACAGCAAGCAAGCAGAAGCTACAAATGCGTACCTAGGAAGTTAGTGAAACACATTCCCATTCCCAGTTCTAAAATGACCCTTAGTGTTTCAGTACTCAGAGGCACAACTCTGCATAAAAACAGCAGATGCCTCACTCCACCAATGTAAATGAGTCAGTTCTTTAACCTCAGAATTGAAGTGTATTTGGGACTATGGGAGGGTACTTATTTACCAAGCATTTTCTAGATGCCAGATAACTTTTCAAAATCACATTTAATTCTCACAATATTCAAAATAAGTATTATAATATCCTACTCTACAGGTGAAGATATGAGATTCACATAGGTTTTGTGATTTAACCAGTATCACAGCCATATCAACTATCTCCATCAGAGGTAGATGTATCAGACTGTAAAAAATAATATTCTTTTCACTCCACTATTATACCTACCATTTAACAAAAAGTTGATCTTCCACACTAGCAGTTAGTATAAACTAAACCATAAGAAAATATTTTCCTAGTAAAAAGAAAAAGCTACAAAATCAGTTATTTTTTAAAAATGTTTTTATTATATATCAGGAAACATTTATTTATTTAAATTAAAGGTACAACTACATTTCCTCTCTTACCACCACCACCCATATTTTTCTTTTTTTCCAGACGGAGTCTCACTCTGTTGCCGGGGCTGGAGTGCAGTGACATGATCTCAGCTTACTGCAGCCTCTGCCTCCTATGTTCAAGCAATTCTCCTGCCTCAGCCTCCCAAGAAGCTGGGATTACAGATGCCTACAGCCACGCCCAGCTAATTTTTATATTTTTAGTAGAGACAGGGTGTCACCATGTTGGCCAGAATGGTCTCGAACCCCTGACCTCAAGTGATACACCTGCCTCAACCACCCAAGGTGTTGGGATTACAGACATCAGCCACCACGCCCAGTTTACCACCAATTCTTTAAGACAAAAACAATTAGCTTAATATTAATCCTAATGAATATGTAACTCCTAATTACATAATTCAGAAATTGTTAACAATTTGCTAGAAAATGAAATCAAACACACAGATACTAATAGTAGTGATATAAATAAATAGATTTACCTTCACTTGTAGCATGGGTTGAAATTCCCTCACAAGTTTCACTGAAGAGTCATATATGGAATTTCCAACTTTTACTGACTCCAAAAGCGGTACAGGACGAAAGTCCGTATGGTAGAGTTCGGCATTCAACCAGGAAGCCACAACCTCCAAATTAGGAAGGGTAGCACTCATGCCAACAATTTGCACAGCATTAGACAGAGAACTGGCTAAATCTGCCTGACTGTCAAAAACAAATGAAAAGAATATTAAAAGATATACACTAAGTTAACAATTAATGTTGCTGACAATATCCTTGGTTATGTCCTTTGGTACACATATACATACGTTTTTTTAGGATATATACCTAAGAATAAAACTACTGAGTCACAGATTTCTCCTATTTTAATAGATAATGCCACATTGTTTTCTAAAGTAACATCTCCACAATCTATGTGTTTTCTGTTTTTCTACAATCTTATCACCACTTGGTATTGTCAATCTTTTTAATGCCAGCAGTTATAGAGAGTATGTGGTAGTATTTCTTTGAAGAAGTAATTCACAGTTCCCTGAGAGCCGATGAGACTAAGCATCACTTCATGTGGATGAACCATGTGGATACCCTGTTTCAACAGCCTGCTTTTTGTCCACTGATACAGTAGGTTGTGTTTTTCTTGTTCATTTGTAGAATTTTTAAATGTCTGGATAGTGACTTTCTTTTTTCATTTTTGCTCTGTTTGTATCATTTTATCAAGCTTTCTATTGCATTATTTTACCTTTTTTTTTTTGAGACAGGGTCTAGCTCTGTCACCCAGGCTGGAGTGCAATGAGGCATGATCTCGGCTCACGGTAACCTCCACCTCCAGGGTTCAGGTGATTCTTATGCCACCTGAGTAGCTGAGATTGTAGGGATACGTCACCATGCGCAGACAAACTTTGTATTTTTAATAGGGAAAGGGTTTTGCTATGTTGGCCAGGCTCATCAACTCCTGGCCTCAAGAGATCTGCTGGCCTTGTCCTCCCCAAGTGCTGGGATTACAGGCATGAGCCACCATGCTTGGCCTTTTTTCTAAGTTATTTGGGATGGACAATTAAATAATTGATTCTCAGTCTCTCTTCCTTAATAATATGAATATTTTATGCTATTAATTTCCTTTAAAAAAAAACTTTTGCTACCCTTCACGAGTTTTGTTGAGACATTTTTATTATACTTTCAGTTCAATCTATTTTCTAATTTCTGTTGTGATTACTTTTTGACCTAAAAATGTATCAAAAATGTGTTTATTTCCAGTCACGTAGACATTTTCTAGTTATGCTTTTCTTATAGTTAAATTTACTGTTGTTAGAAAACAAATGATAGGAATCCACTAGAATATGTTAAGACTTGCTTTACGGTCCAGCAAATGGAAAATTTTTTGATAAATGTTTCATGTGTAACTGAAATGAACATGTACTCTGCTGTTTTGAGGTAAATGTTCAATGTGTATCCATTAGGTCAAATGTGCTGATTAATCATAATTTCTATGTCCCAAGTGATTTAAGATGGAGACAGTTATCTGCTTGTTCCATCACAAGAGAGATGTGTTCAATTCGCCCTTAACTGAAAAGAACCTATTGAGTACCCAGCACAACGACTACAAATAGACCAACACACATCAGTATTAAATTTCACAGCACTGAGGCTGAAGGAAAAGTACTTCCAGTTTTGACTCTTAGACCTGGACAGTCCGTGAAATAATTATGGAGGCCGGGCACAGTGGCTCACACTGGTAATCCTAGCACTTTGGGAGGCCAAGACGGATGGATCATCTGAGGTCAGGAATTTGAGACCAGCCTGGCCAACATGGTGAAACCCCATCTCTACTAAAAATACAAAAATTAGCTGGATGTGGTGGCAGGTACCTATAATCCCAGCTACTCGGGAGGCTGAGGCAGGAGAATCGCTTGAACCCAGGAGGGGAGGTTTCAGTGAGCCGAGATTGCTCCACTTCACTCCAGCCTGGGCGAAAGTGGGGAAAAAAATTAAATTAAAAAAAAAAGGGGAAAAGAGCAAAATTTGTCTCAAAAATTAAAAAAATAATAATTACGAGGTATTTTCAGACACGCAAGTTCTCAAAAACTTTATACCTATGTGTGTTTACTGAAATAAAGTAGAAGTTCCTGGAAGATTTTCCCACCAAAATGAGAAGGTAAATTAACAGACATGTGGTCAAAAAATGGATAGGGGAAGGGAATCCCAAGATGATTGCTATGTAGCACATATACAGATTAGCCACTTATCTAGACTGGAACAACTTGAAGGGCTTTAGGAAAATCTTCCAGAAGATGACTGGAAGAATAGCAAATGTGGTAGAATACACAACTAGGGAATAGGCTAGGAATATATTAGCTCTAAGTATATGGAAAACCAAGCCATCAAACAAAAAAGACAGTTATTAATTTCAGAGAAAACAACAAGTTGTTTAGAAAAGCAAAAGTAATCATATTATGCTATAGTCCAGTTACTAATGTTATTTATACAGTCACAATAGTGTAACACTGAGTAATGATCTAAGCAAAATTATAACCTAACTCTATTTGAAGAGTGGGAAGATGATGAGAGAATAAGGAGACTGCAGAGAAGGGGGAAAAGATTGAGTAGCGGTGAGTAAAGAAATTAAAAGAAAGCGAGATCTTCATCTTTCATAGTAAAAGTCAGTATATAAAGTGCAAAATTAAAAAATTAAGTAGCAACAGTTAGAGATGCTGCTGTAAACATTTTTAAAAAAACTAGAAGAGTTGAAAGGTAGTTACCTCTGAGAAGTGAGGGCTAAAAAAATACTATTTTTCAAAATTAGCCTGACTACTTAAATTATATATACAAATGACAAATACAGAACCTGGATTTCTAGAAATCTGTAACAAAAACATATATACTGAAAGGGTGAAAGTCAGAAAATTAAGAATGTTTACAAAGTAATCTAAAATCAGTTTTAATCTGAAATACTTTTCCTGTGGTTGTTAGAGACATAGTCTTGCCCTGTTGCCCAGGCTAGAGTAAAGTGGCACAATCATAGCTCATTGCAGCCTGAAACTCTTGGGCTCAAGCAATCCTCCTGCCTCAGTCTCCTGAAAAGCTGGGACTACAGGTATGTGCCACGATGCCCAGCTAATTTTTTTATTATTTATAGAAATGGGGTCTCACTGTGTTGCCCAAGCTGGTCTGGAACTTGGGCTCAAGTGATCTGCCCACCTCAGCCTTCTAAAGTGCTGGGATTACAGGTGGGAGCCACCATGCCTGGACTGACTTCTTCTGGAACAAAAATAAACTACTTTACATGAGTTTTTCTCAATGTGAAAAAATATAACACTCCTTTAATTTATTTAACTCAGGTACTTTTTCAGACACTTTCTCAACGTGATTTGAAATCTCAAGAACTTAGTTGTTTCAAGTACTCACGAAGACGCTGTTTTCCGAGAAATATAGCAAATTTTGGTCAGCAAAAGTTCCAGCAGATACCCTCGGTGAGAGTCTCCCAGCATATGTAATTCATCCACAACAACCATTCCTAAAAAGATTTTCCAGATACTAGGTTTTTACAGAATCTCACATCCACGTAATTTTTTCCAACTTTTATTTCACTCTATTTTATTTCCTTTATATCAACTTTTAATTTAGATTCAGGGGTACACGTGCAGGTTTGTTACTTGTGTATTTTGTGTAATGCTAAGGTTGGGAGTACCAGTGATCCCATCACCCAGGTACTTAGCAATAGTATCCTATTATTACTTAGTTTTTCAACCTTTGTTCCCCTCTAGTAGTCCCCAGTTTCTGTTGTTGCCATCTTTATGTCCATGAATACTCAAAGTTTAGTTCCCACTTACAAGTGAGAACATGTAGTACATGGTTTTCTGTTCCTGTGTTAATTGGCTTAGGATAATGGCTCCAGCTGCATCTATACTGCTTTGCTACAAAGGACATGATTTCATTCTTTTTATGAGTATGCCAAGAAGAAATTTAAAAGATTCGTTATCTTATACTGCACAGTATGTAGCTGTCATTATAATATATTGCAAGTGATGCAAACTTCAAACCATAAAGGAAAAATCAGATTCCTCACAATGGGCAATTCTTTTCCAAGATGTTTCAGGTATTACAGGCAGTCCTACGACAAGGTATTCCGGATCTAAAATCAATTATTAGCTTACTCGGGGCTAAACAAACCCAGGGAAAACTGCCTCTTACTACTCTTCTCAATTGCCAACTTCACTGAAATAAACATACAATGACATATCAAAGACATCTATGGCAGTTAGTCAGTGTTTTCAGTGGGAAAACAGACGTACCCATGTTAGAAAGCAGCTTAGGAAAAACAGAATAGGGTCCAGAATAAAAAGATAATTTTAAGATTTTTTTTAATATGGTAGGCTAGTGAGTCACCCTACTGCAAAACAGAAATATGATTACAATGTCCTTCACTACTTGAAGAATTTAACCAATGTATATACCTGGAATAATCTTAAGAATTATGAAAATTCAATATCAACCAACACTTTCTTTGAACATTTTCATAAGAACATAGCTTCCACATGTACTGGTGTTCCCCCACCCCAAATTCTCCCCACCAAAAGACAACTTTCTGGTGAAAAGAAATTTGAGGAGACAATAGAAAACTTCCTAATAACACATAATGATGTTCTTTTTCCTATCAGTAAGCTATCTGCAAAATTGTACTGTCTGAGAAGTTATTTCAATGCTTACTCATTTCTTCACCAAAAAATAAAAAATAAAAAAAACTATTCTGCCTACCATGTACCAGGCACTGTGCTGGGTACATTGGAAATAGCACTTACTAGGGGTCTATTGCAACTCTCAAAATATTTAAAGTCCAATGGAGTCACAAGTGATAAGACAATTCAGATACAAATCAATTGCAATTTTTCTCTCCAAGCTTTATAAAGCATAGCCCATGTCTTATTCATCTTTGATTTCCACCCTCCACCCCTACCTTACCATAACTTTACCATGGTATTTTTAAGTTCACCGGGCTCTCAATAAATAGCTGATATTCTTGCTACTTCTGCAGCTGCAATCCTTTTACTGCTGTTGCTACCTCTACATAATGGCCTTTCCATAATGGCAAAACATGCATTCAGATAGAAAATCTTCCCAGAACCCCAAGCTCAAGTACAGTATCAGTTTCAGCAGGTCCCTACCACTTCCATGCTAAATGGTAGCCTCTGGGTCCAAGCCCAAAATAGACATCATAGCACCAGAATATAGGAACAAAAACACATGTACACTAACTGCAAAAATGACAGATCTGGCCCAGCAGGCTTCCTTCTATTCCTGGTAAGGTTTAGATAAGAAAGAAGCAAGAAGAAATTATCGAGGGCTCAAGGATATCCTTTACGTTTTGTAAAGTACAAACATGCAACGCAGTGGAGTCAATAACAGCAGCAGGACACAAAACTTATAAACACAGAGTTCCTATCATTACAGATGCCAATTCTCACCTTTAGAAGTAGATGATAGACAATAGAAAAACAAACAGGACCTACAGAAATCACAAGAGCTCCCCTTCATCCCATCAAGAAAAGCAACAGAAAGTATTTACTTCTTTTCGAACTTTCTTACCTAACAGATCCATCTTATTTTCCTCTATGAGGCGATTGATCAGACCATTGGCTCTTTCAATTGTGCAGACTGCAACATCCAAGGAAGAGAAATGCCTTGCTGGAGAGGTGCTGCCCATATAACCGTCTACTTTTATTCCTACTTCCTGAAACAGACTCTGAATTGAGTAAAAAGAAACAATACAGGTGAAAAAAACTTGAAATTCAAGAGGTATAGACAGGTTCTATCCCAGAACACAGACATAAGTATCTAAAGACATCTATTAGATTACTGTCATCCGTTGTTTCTGGCCAAGACACACTGGTTCTTTTTAGAATCATATGCTAAAAATATAAAGTTTAGAACTGGCAAAACTTAGATTTCTGTTAAGAGTGAAATAAAATTATACTATTTTAATGAAAGCATAATAATCTAAAAAGTTCTAAGAGCTATTTATAGGAATTAAAATGGGAGAAAAACTACCTTAAGCACTAACATTTTTAATCTAATAAACAGCAAGAAACTAGCTGTAACACTTGAAGAAATAAATTTATATCTCGTGAGAAAAATAGTCTCATTATCCTACTAATGACAAATTTTTTAATGTAATTGGAAGAAAAGTTTTTTAAAAGTAAAATTCAGTGGGACTTTCATAATAATTTTTTTTTGGCTTAACTTTTAACTAACATACCTTTCAATAAAAAGGATCCTTTCATCACTTTGTTAGTTTGAGTCTAAGTTGAGAGATGTTACCATGTAGGACCAGCTTTGTTGCTATTTGGCCTCTGAAATAACTGTTAAAAAGATTTATAGAACCACAGAAATTTAGAGTTGTTCATTCAATAAAATTTTCCTGAGTGTTTGCCAAGTTAACCCACAGTGCTAAGGGTTAACATCCTAATTTTACTCATGAAAAAAACCGAGGCCCAGCAGGTTACGTGCCTGGCCTAAAGACATAGTTAGTGGCAAAACTGGGACTAGAACCCACATTTCTTTAACAATCAGTATACTGATCTTTCCATTCCAAAAGCACCTATTTTCTACTGTGGAAATCACAACAGTAAATTTATTACCTTTAATAAAACACTGTAGTTGTTAAAATGCCCTAAAAACTGTGAGCATCATGTTGATGTAAACTATTAGTCATTTTGCAGAGCAAAGGAACAGATCACTCCCTGGAGCTTTACATAAGCACCAATGGATCCCCTAAATATTTATCCCCTAAATATTCCTAAATGGCCCTCAATTAGGACAGAGTATGCTTCCTTTTTTTTTTTTTAAATAGAGATGGTGTTTCATGTTAGTGTTACTCGGGCTGGTCTCTAACTCCTGACCTCAGGTGATTTGCCCACCTTGGCCACCCAAAGTGCTGGGATTACAGGCGTGAGCCACCACACCCAGCCATGGATAGCTTCCTTAAATATTCTTTCCTTTCTATGCTTCAGTCTAGTCCTACTGTTCAGTTACATGCTCATTCTCAATGAGCATGTTTCTTTGCTAGTTGAAGTATTCTGTTTATCTCCTAAGAAAAAGTTTACACATTTTTACACAATTTTCACCAATTCTTTTGATTTGATGGCCCCTTCTTCTTGATGCAATAATTTTTTTAAAAATTTACTTCTGTAAATTTAAAACAAAAAAATTTTTTTTTTTTTTGAGACAGAGTCTCACTCTGTTGCCCAGGCTGGAGTGCAATGGCACAGTCTCAGCTCACTGCAACCTCTGTCTCCTGGGTTCAAGCGATTCTCCTGCCTTAGCCTCCCACGTAGCCGGAATCATAGGTGTGAGTGACCACACCCAGCTAATTTTTGTATTTTCAGTAGACACGGGGTTTCACCATGTTGGCCAGGCTAATCTCGAACTCCTGACCTCAGAAGATCCACCCGCCACAGTCTCCCAAAGTGCTGGGATTACAGGCATGAGCCAATACACCCAGCCCTCTCCTGTGAATTTTTAATGTTTTTAGCAGTCACCTCTTTTTTTTTTTTTTGAGGCAGAGTTTTGATCTTGTTGCCCAGGATGGAGTGCAATGGCACAATCTGGGCTCACTGCAACATCCACCTCCCAGGTTCAAGCAATTCTCCTGCCTCAGCCTCCCAAGTAGCTGGGATCACAGGCATGCGCCATCATGCCCCGCTAATTTTGTATTTTTAGTAGAGACAGTGTTTTTCCAGGACAGTCAGGCTGGTCTCAAACCCCTGACCTCAGGTGATCTGCCCACCACAGCCTCCCATAGTGCTGGGATTACAGGAGTGAGCCACCGTACCCAGCCTGCAGTCACCTCTTAAAGCTACATGGGACGCAATAAAGAGACTTTGTTTTCCACTTGCTTTTATAATTCTATTTCAAATGAATGAAGCCAAGGCAGCCAATATTGAGCCTTTCACTATTTCAAACTTAGTAAAAAACATTACCTGGAGATAGTATTTCTTCTCTTTAGCCACAGAAACAAAAGGAAGAATAAATAAAGCTTTCTTCCGCATTTCCAAAACCCGCTTCAAAATAAGTAATTCTGCCACAAGAGTCTTCCCAGCACTTGTAGGAGCTAAAACATGATTATAACACAAGATTATAAGAAAAATGTAATATTTGGTATACTTCATCAATAAATGTTTTAAGCAATGTGTAGTACTACACCACCTAAGGCTAATCTATCACTAAGGCCACAAGTGCATTTAAAACTTTTATACCCTGAAAGGCCCTTTACTTTAAGCCAGCTCTCTAAATAGTTTCACTAAAAACAGTGTAAACAAATCTTTATATCAACCATATATGATGAATACTATTGAGTATCTAGTTGATACCTAAAGATCCTTTCCTTTAACTACCAAATGGTTAAAAGGCCTGCTTCAAGGAAGTAGATGAACAACTTTATCTTGATAGGAGATGTGATCGAAGTTGAGGAAAAGGGCTGGGCGCAGTGGCTTATGCCTGTATTCCCAGCACTTTGGGAGGCAGAGGCCAGGGGATCACTTCAGGAGTTTGAGACCATCCTGGACAACATGATAAAACCCCATCTCTATTATTACAAAAATAAATTTAAAATAAAATAAAAAGCCAGGCATGGTGGTGGGCACCTGTAGTCCCAGCTACTCGGGAGGCTGAGGCAGGAGAATTGCTTGAACCCGGGAGGCAAAGATTGCAGTGAGCTGATATCGTGACACTACACTCCAGCCTGGGTGACAGAGCAAGACTCCATCTCAAAAAAAAAAAAAAAAGTTGAGAAAAGGAGCTTCAAGGAATCTTATGAGAAGGGAAGAAAGAAAACAAGAGGAGGCTGGGGCAGTAGCTGATGCCTGTAATCCCAGCAACGTGGGAGGCCAAGAAGGGTGAGGTGGGATGTGCCTGTAATTCCAGCTACTTGCATGGCTGAGATTTGAGACCTACTTGAACCCAGGAAGCGGAGGCTGCAATGAGTTACGATCATGCCACTGCACTCCAGCATGGGTGACACAACAAGACTTTGTTTCAAAAAAAAAAAAAAAAAATTAAGAGGAAAGGAATGCCATGCCTAAGGAACAGCATGTGGTGCAAAGGCCTAGAAGAAAGACTGGCATGTTCCGATGACACAGTAAGTAATTTAGTAAGCGTGGAGTATAAAGTACTCCAGGGGTTTACAAGAAGAGATAATGAAAGTGTCACAAGAAGGGTTTACAACCCCACCATTTAAGAAGTTTAAACCTTGTCCTGAAAGCAATGCAGAGACTGATGAGCTTTATGAAAAGGAGTGATAAAATCATATTTGTACTTTATAAAGATCACTTTGGACTGGGCAGATTCAATCATGCCTGTAATCCCAAAACTTTGGGAGGATCACTTGAGCCCAGGAGTTCAAGATCAGCCTGGACAACACAATAACACCCCCATATCTACAAAAAATTTAAAAAAAAAAATTTTTTTAAAGACCACTTTGGCTATAAGAGCAAGGCCAATATCAGAGGAAAAGGAAGAACTAGTTTCAAAGCTACTGCATAGTCTAGAAGAAAGATGATAATGAGCTGCATGTACCAGGTAATGGACCTAAAAACAGAAAGGAGTCAGAAGCTAGAGATATGAGGTAACAGACACAGGACTTGGTGATTAACTGTATAAGCTGGTGACCAAGGTTCTGAATGATACCCAAGTTTCAGTTTCAAGCAATTGAAATGGTCAAGCCATTAGGCCATTGCCACTAACTACGACTTCTTAGCATTTATGAGTATTTTATATTTTATTTTTTGTAATGTCCTTTCACAATACAAGTACTTTATATGTGCCAAAAAGTTTCTGAGCTCTCATATATGAAATAATGTAATCCTTCCTAGGTACTACCAAGGTACACATACTCACCAACACATAGACACTCTCTCACTCTTCCTAAGTGATCTGTAAGGCTGCATAGCCAGTGATAGTTTTCAAATCCAACCAGTCTAATTCCACTGCCTTAACTTATATCTGCTTGTTAAGTTAATCCTTTAATTCTTCCTTACAGCCAAAAATCTGTGTGACTCATAATTTCAGAGAAAACTGACACAAAGGAATTGTATCTTATCAAAAGATTAAAGTAGTGTAGTAAGCATGGGTTAAAAATTGCACATGTCATAGTTGCCCTTGAAAACCCACATAAATTGTTTTAAATAAATTTTATAAAGTATATTACATATTGTTTGTATATACAACCCTGCACAAACAGGTCAATTTATGACTGGGTGCGGTGACTCACACCTATAATCCCAGCACTTTGGGAGGCCGAGGTGGGTGACTCACTTGAGGTCAGGAGTTCGAGACCAGCCTGGCCAACATGGTAAAACCCTGTCTCAACTAAAAATACAAAAGTAGCTGGGCCTGGTGGTCCACACCTGCAATCCCAGCTACTTGGGAGGCTGAGGCAGGAGAATCACTTGAACCCGGGAGGTGGAAGTTGCAATGAGCCCAATAGAGCCACTGTATTCCAGCCTGGAGCAAGACTCTGTCTCAAAAAAAAAGTCAGTTAATAAACATACAATGTATAATGTTCATACCCTGAAAAGCAACCAGGATCAAATGGGGGAAGAGCAGGTTTATATCTCCCATTGCATACTCACTGGGATATATGTATGTTGAGCGTGATGATGGCAAGTAGAATCGCTCACTCTTTAAATTATCATTTTTCTTGCTTTTCCCCCCATAGTCACATAACAAAACTTTTGTAATTTAAACATAAATAAAACTCTACTTTTCACACATATTTTAAGATTTTCTCTAGTTTTAAAGCACTGCCTCATTCACCTTTTAAAAGAACCATAACTACTTCAATGGAGTACTCTTTGCATCATATCTTAAAAATAGTAATTAGTTTACATGAATTTGGATACCTGAATAGACTAAATTCTTTCCTTCCAGGACTTGTCCGAGCAAAAGGCACTCTGCCTGCCATTCAAACATCTTTTTTACACCAAAACTGTGGTATTTTTCCAGAACTGCTTTAGGAAGTCCCCAATTTGCCAATAGTAGCTTGTCTATTTGGCAGTCGGGAGCGGTAGGCTTGCATTCTCCTTTTAGGAAAAAGAAAAAATTAAAATTTACTTCTAATGAGTTTACAGCTAGCCCTTCACTGTGTGTTGTGTCGAAATGAAGTTATTTAAAGCACATCCTGACTTCAACAATCTTATGAGAAACTGACCATGTATAGAAAAGTAATAAATTGTTATTTATGGCATATGATAAAAACAATTCCTTAAAAGCCTCAAACAAACAAACAAAAACCCCTGTGCAATACACAGTAGATAAAGTCTTCGAATTACGGGCGGAGTGGGGGGAGAGGACAATATGGAAGCATTACAAAGCTTAGTTAGGTAAGTTTCTATTTGTAAGTTTTAGTTCCATGACGACAGCATAACTAATGATTTTTTTAAATTGGGTAGACATCCACCAGACACCCAACCAATCTCATTAGGAATCCCTGGACGCCAAACAGCCTGTGCTATCCTCCAGGCCCAACAATCCGGCCTTAAGGATCTGTAAGGAGCACTAGGTACTATGAGGAGAGCGCCCTCCAACAGGTGATGGTATTTGGCTAACTAGGAAGTTGTTTCTCAAAAGGTCGAAAGACCCAGAAACCAGGTGAACATCAATACCAGGCGACCACTGAAAACACGCGTTATGTCTGAACAGAAAGTGACCTGCCACACAGGGCCCGAGTCAGAGAAGGGGAATAGAAGCCCAATGGGGTATGCAATCAAGCAAGCCCCGTGAGGGGAGAACACCTCCCAACCCAGGGCCCGGCGGAGCTGCTCCCGTCGCCCGCGGCCTCCCGGGTTCCCAGAGCACCTGCAGTTGCGGCTGACTGACGGCCGCGATCCTTCAGGCAGCGACCCAGGCCCGGCGGCGGGCTCAGCACGGTCAGGGAGAGGAGCTGGGGGCTGGCACTGCTGTCACCGCCGCTTCCCGACAACGAATCTGAGCCTGACTCTGAACGCCGCCGTTTCCCACTCCGACGCAGAAGATTCATAGGAAACCCTTACTCGGACATCAGGGCAAGCCACAGTCCCAGCGTCCTCCCACTCGGGGGAACCCTGGCCTGCCGACAGGTGCTGTCATCATCTTCCCGCCTGTCTTCAAACTCAAACCTCCCGGCCCGCCCCGGAACCATAGAGTTCTCCGTGGCTTAAGTAACCCGAAAGCCATAGAGTCGTGGGGAAGAAGCCGCTCTCGCTGGTGTCTAAAATTTCCGGCCTCCAGCCTCCGTTGTTAGTGAATATGAGACTTAAAGAGGAAAGCCATAGAGTCGTCGGGAAGGAGCGGCTCTCGCTGGTGTCTAAGACTTCCGGCCTCCGGCCTCCATTGTTAGTTAATATGAGACGTAGATTAAAGAGGAAGGTACAGAATCCACAGTTATAACCATACTTACCCTTCTCTTTTTATCCATTTCTAGTTTGAGTAGGAAGGCCGTGCTAACTGCATAAAGTGGGCTGCCCCTAGTAGGTAGATGAAGGAAGTAGTTCTTCTTAACGTATTGGTGTTTTGTAAAAAATTATTTTACATTGCGAAGCATGCAAGAGAGCCTAGGGTTTCTAATGGAACATAATTTCCCCCTTTCTCCTAGTGTATGATGGCAAAGCAGGGCTATTTCTGAACGCAATTTCCATTTTAGCCAGCATGCATTGTGAGGAATATGTGATGAGGAATTGGGGATTGCTGGCCGACAGACCCCTGAGACACCTGCATGAACGCCGCGAGGATGGGGCTCTGAATGTACCTCAGGGATCGTTACGAGCCAAGAGCTTAGTAAGGGATCTGTGTACTCTGTTTTGTAAAAGTGGAGGCGAACAGTTTCTGAACGTAAACCAGTGACCATGCATGACACAGGTGCACAATTCATTTCACCAAGCAAACCTAGTAGGCCCCAAACCTGACCTGGAGAGGCTGTGCAATTCTAGAGCACTAAAAATCTCAAAAGGTCCAGTTCAATTAAAAAAAAAAAAAAAAAAACTACTCGAATACAATCTGAAAAATAGCACTGGAACCATCAATTCTTCCCGTGAAAAATTTAAGGGATTTAAATGACAATATTTTAAACTTCCACCAGATGGCGACATTACTCCATGAATGAAACATTTTTTCTTGCCTTTTATGCCATCAACAACTATTTATTGAGCATCTACTGTAAGCTAGCTACTGGGTATGGCAGTGAAATGGCATAAAATGGTTCCTGCTCTCGTCAGTTGTGCGCGGTAGCTCACGTTTGTAATCCCAGCACTTTGGGAGACTGAGGCGGGCGGATCATAAGGTCAGGAGTTCGAGACCAGCCTGATCAACATGGTGAAAACCCATCTCTACTAAAAATACAAAAATTAGCCAGATCTGGTGGAGCGCGCCTGTTAAGCCGAGGAGGCTGAGGCAGGAGAATTGCTTGAACCCAGGAGGCAGAGGTTGCAATAAGCCGAGATCCTGCCATTGCATTCCAGCCTGGGCGACAGAGCGAGATTCTGTCCCCCACCCCCGTCTCCAAAGCTTCCTGCTCTCAAAGAGAAGGAGTCTAGAGAATGAGATAGACATTAAACAAATCAGTTAATAATTAAGTGTGCCATACGCTCAGGCAGAAATGAATAGAGTACTTGCTTGTTAATAATAATCACCTATTTAAGAGAAAAAAAGAAAAAAAGGATAAGAAATGAGTAGAATACTATCAAAGAAGTAAGAGAGATCTGGCTGGGCTTGGTGGCTCACGCCTGTAATCCCAGCACTTTGGGAGGTGGAGGCGGGCAGATCACCTGAGGTCAGGAGTTAAGACCAGACTGGCCAACATGGTGAAATCCTGTCTCAACAAAAAATACAAAAATTATCCGGGCATGATGGTGGGTGACTGTAATGCCAGCTACTCAGGAGGCTGAGGCAGGAGAATCACTTGAACCGGAAGGCGGAGGTTGTAATGAGTCAAGATGGTCCCACAGCACTCCAGCCTGAGCAACAGAGCAAGACTCCGTCTCAAAAAGAAAAAAAAAAGGGAGCCAGGCATGGGGGCTCACGCCTGTAATCCCAGCACTTTGGGAGGCTGAGGTGGGTGGATCACAAGGTCAGGAGTTCAAGACCAGCCTGGCCAAGATGGTGAAACTGCAAATTTACTAAAAACACAAAAAATTAGTCAAAGTATGTGCCATACTCTGTTATAATATTGCTAAAAACAGAACAAAAGGCGGGGTGAGGGGGTTCACACCTGTAATCCAAGCACTTTGGGAGGCCGAGGTGGGCAGATTACGAGGTCACAAGTTCGAGACCAACCTGGCCAACATAATGAAACCTCATCTCTACTAAAAATACAAAACATTAGCTGGGTGTGATGGTAGGAGTCTGGGGCAGAAGAATTGCGTGAACCCAGGAGGCAGGGGTTGCAGTGAGCAGAGATCACACCATTGCACTCCAGCCTGGGTGACAATGAGAAACTTCATGTAAAAAAACAAAAACAAAAAAACAGAAGAAAAAAAATCCTCAAATAACAATAACTGATGTACATTCAAAAACAACATCTGATTTTTTTAATAAGTTATCGAGAGTGATTTGCATGGAAATTTCAGAAGTTATATGGAAAAATTAAAATGTACCCAAACTAGACCGGGCACAGGGGCTGACACCTATAATCCTAATACTTTGGGAGGCCAAAGTGGGAGAATCACTTGAGCCCAGGAGTTTGAACCCAGCCTGCACAACATAGTGAAACCCTATCTCAACAAAAAATTTAAAAATTAGCCAGGAGTGGCGGCACGTGCCTGTACCCTGAGCCACTAGGGAGGTTGAGACAGGAGGATCTCTTGAGCCCAGGAGGTTGAGGCTGCAGTGAGTTTTGATCGCACCACCGCAATCCCCCATGACCGTTTCAAACATAAAAACAAAAAATAATTACTCAAACTACATTTGTGAATTGACTAAAACAGAATTATCTACCCAGACTGAAAACTCTGTTTCTCATGTGAGTGGAAGTGATTTGCCAAAGGGCAAAAAAGAAAGAGCTGGAAAATAAACAAGGAATGTGGACTGAGTGGTACTGATTAGATCTAAGGTACTCAGAAAAAAGGAGATGCTAATTAAGGATTTTGTGTTTGAATCCAGTGATTCTCAACTAAAACATATCTAGTGGAACAGTTAGAATCCCAGAGGAGCTTTTAAAATATTATAATACCCCTGGAGATTCTGAGTTAATTGATCTGGGATGGAGTGCAGGCACTGATATGCTTGCCTTAAAAGCTCCGCAGGTATTCTGACATGCTGGAATTGAAAACCACCAGTGCAAGCAAGGGATGAGGCTGACTTGAATTCAGGTGGCTTCAGTGAGAAACTTTTAATAAGGGGCTTCAATTAACACGGGACTCTGACAAAGACCAATTTTTCCACAATGCCTCAAGGAACTAGTTGAAATAGCTTACTTGTGGATGGGGATGAAAGCACAATTGAAATAACCTCAAAGGTCTAGGTTAAAGCATCAGAAAGCCAACTTGAAGGTGGTAAAACTAAAGAATGAATCCCCCAAAAAGACTAAATTACCTGAATATGTAAGTACACAGACCCATTACTTCCACATTCATACATAGTCTGGTCTTAGTTTGGCTGCTGTATTAAAATTCCTTTGACTGCATAATGTATAAACAACAGAAATGTATTGTTGGCCGGGCATGGTGGCTCATACCTGTAATCCCAGGTTTGGGAGGCCGAGGCAGGTGGATCACAAGGTCAGGAGTTTGAGACCAGCCCGGCCAACATGGTGAAACCCAGTCTCTACTAAAAATACAAAATTACCTGGGTGTACAGTGCGTGCCTGTAATCCCAGTTACTCTGGGGGCTGAGGCAGGAGAATCGCTTAAACTCAAGAGGCAGAGGTTGCAGTGAGCCAAGATCACACTACTGCACTCCAGCCTGGGCAACAGAGTGAGACTCCATCTCCAAAAAAAAAAAAAAGTGTTCTGTCTTGCTTGGCTGACCTTTCCTTGTCCCTGGACTAGAGAAAACAGGCCTTTCTTGTGGCTGTGCGTGTGTGTGTGTTTGGATTGTTTTCATTGGCATTTCCAGGTTGCTGGCAACTCCAGCTTCCAATTTGGAATATTAAAACAAAACAGAAACAAAACCCAAGAAATTCTTGAAAGTTTAGTTTTTTGGGTCCACCAGAATCTTCTTGTGTTTGTTTACATATAATGTTTAGGGCTTTTAATGCAGTTATCAGGAGGAACAGGGGAAAGCATGTCTACTTCATCTTCCCAGAAGCGGCTATCTCACCTTTTAGTCTTTTGACAATCTTTTTACAAGGAGACATTTACAGTGTATGACGTTGCCCTTCCCAGATCCCTTTCACCCGAACCCCTGGCTGCCATGTTGGCTGATAACTCACAGCCGCCCCCTCCTTGGAGGAACATCTCAGGGACAAACAGACGCTGTCAGTGTGGGCTGTGCACCACCATCTACCCTTTCTGCTGGGGCCTGACTCCTATCAACACTGCCGATTTATGCTACAGAGCTTCCTCCTCAAATCAGACTGAAGCTAGTCTGCACCTGAGACCATGTTCTTGATATTTACGGTGCTGAATTTTCTCTCCTCGTAAATGTTATTTGTGCATTTGCTATCTCCCATCCCTCCTCAACTTCCCTACTACATTTTTCCTCTTTGGCCATCTCTGGATCTCCTCTTTTACTCCTTCCATTTTTCTAAAGAATTAAAATCCTTGTAATCCCAGCACTCTGGGAGGCCGAGGCGGGTGGATCACGAGGTCAAGAGATCGAGACCATCCTGGTAAACAAGGTGAAACCTCGTCTCTACTAAAAATACAAAAATTAGCTGTGCTTGGTGGTGCGCGCCTGTAATCCCAGCTACTCAGGAGGCTGAGGCAGGAGAATTGCCTGAACCCAGAAGGCAGAGGTTGCAGTGAGCCGAGATCCTGCCGTTGCACTCCAGTCTGGGTAACAAGAGCAAAAACTCCATCTCAAAAAAAAAAAAAGAATTAAAATCTTTCTGTGATGTCAAGGTGAGCAGAGCTAACCTCAACTCACTTCAGCTCTCTAAGCTTCGATAATCTCATCAGCAAAGTGGAAGGAATGTACTTACCTCATAAGAACATGCACTTAACAGGCACCTGCACAGAGTTTTGAACACAGTAAGAGAGAATAGACAGGAGCAATTTGTGTCTGTAATTCCATTGCCTCAGACTATGTTACTTATTCTCTCTATTTAATGCTTTAATTTGTAAAATATATGTATTATTTTCTCTGTAAAAATTCACAGCTCAGGCAGGCATCTTCTGCTTTCCTTTGGTACCTCAGCCCTTGCATTGTATTGTGCTCCTCCCCTCTTGGTCTGTCTCAGACCAGAAGACATCTCACTCCTCCCAATTATCTTCTGCCGTTCTCACTGTTCTCTGCCACATCTTATGCTCCGTCTTGCCAGTAGCATTTCTGTCCCTGTCCCGGTCTTCTGTGGGAAAATGCTCAAGTTCTCCTGGCCAGAGCACTCTCACAAACCCAGTCTGAATTAAAGAGATGTTGGAGGGAGAGTTGAAGAATAATGAAAGCTCCTTTCCTGGTCTCTAAAAAAAAAAAAAAAAAAAAAATTAAGGCCAGGAGCAATGGCTCAGCACTTTGGGAGGCAGAGGTGTGCAGATCACTTGAGGTCAGGAGTTCAAGACCAGCCTGGCCAACATGGTGAAACCCCGTCTCTACTAAAAATACAAAAATTAGCCAGGAATGATGACTTGCATCTGCAGCCTTAGCTACTCAGGAGGCTGAGGTGGAAGAATCACTTGAACCTGCAAAGCACAGGTTGCACTGAGCTGAGATCCTGGCACTGCACTCCAACCTGGGCAACAGAGCAAGACTCTATCTCAAAAAAAAAAAAGAAAGAAAGAAAAAAAAGAAGAAGAGGAAGAAAGGTCAGGTATAGTGGTGCATGCCTGTAGTCCCAGCTACTCTGGAGGCTGAGAA